AAGCATGTAAACATTGTAGAGTAGTTAAATCTAGCTATTAATAATTAACAAACTCACTCTATTGCATAACATAGTTATTGCTTTGTGATGAGAACACATCTGTTTTCTTGTATTTTTCAAGAATATGATGTATCAGTCCAGTAAGAATATATCAGTCCAATAAGATGTCTCAGTGTGTAAAAGCACTTGTCATGTAAGCCTGATGACCTAAGTTCAATCCCCAGAGTCCATAGTACAAGGAGAGAACCAATTCCCAAAAGTTTGTCCTCTTACCTCTACACAGGCACTTGAGTGTGTGTGCATACATGTGCACACATGCACACACACACACAATAATAATAAATAAATAATTTTAAGAAAACACTGTGGTGGCTTGAATGCAAATGGCCCTCATAGTCTCACAGGAAGTGACACTATTGGAAAGGATCAGGATGTGTGGCCTTGTTGGAGGATGTATGTCACTGTCACTGGAGGTGGGCTTTGAAGTTTCAGATGCTCAAGCCAGGCCCAGTGTCACTCTCTCCTACTTCTGCTAATCCAGATGTAGAACTCTCAGCTACTTCTCCAGCACCATGTCTGCCTGCATGCCACATGCTCCCACCATGATGATACTGGACTAAACCTCTGAACATGTAAGCCAGCCTCAACGAAAGCTTTCCTTGATAGGAGTTGCCTTGTAACAATTCTACCTAGCAATAGAAACCCTAACTGACACAGTCACCACCAACTACAATCTCTGTTACACAGCAGAACGCCTGAGCTTGCCCTTTCTGTTAACTGTCACTGTACCCCTTTGGCAGTTGTCTCTCACCATCCACTTCCCCGTCACCCCTCACCTGTGGTAATCATTGTCTCATTTCCCTGGAGAAATCCACTTTTGTAGCTTGCACTTATGAATGAGATCATGCGGCCTTAAATTTTTTTGTGTCTGCTTTTTTCGTTTAACATGATGCCTTCCAAGTCCATCCATGATGTCTCAAATGACAGGATTTTGTTTGTTTGTTTTTTTTTTTTGATGTGTTGTGTATGCTGTTTTAGTTATTTGAGACTGTTTCATATAGCCCAAGCTGGTCTCAATCTCATCATGAAGCAAAGGCAGACTTTGGCTTCTGATCCTCCTGCCTCCACCTCCTGAAGGCTGAGACTGTGGGCATGTCTCACCAACATACGGCTTTGTGCAGTGCGGGGACTGAACGCAAAAGGTTGTACTCGGTTCTAGCTGAGTTATGGTTTTAGCTCTCCCCCCCCCCCGTTGGAGTTATACATCGTATTTGCTTTGTTCATTTGTTGACACTTTGGTTAGTTTTATATCTTGTCTCTTGTGAATAATGCGCAATGCAGATAGGAGCTCAGAGCCCCTGCTTTACTTTCCCTTGTATATAAACTCAGAAGGGGAAGCATTGGATCTCTATCTGGATGTTTATGCCTTTTAAAAGCTCTTGCTGATAAAGGAGCCGGGAGTTCATATTCCCATGTCCTGATTTCGCTCACTCCATGTCAATGATAATGATGATATTTGTATGGCACAATAGAACTCCTAGAATACAGCTGTCCATCCGCACAACAGCCACTCAGTAAAGAGTTAATTGGTTTATCTTGGCCCACTTGTGTGCTATGGATCACCACCTGGTGATGGAGGAAGGTCATTGGTTAAATAAAAAGAAACTGCTTGGCCCTCATTGGTTAGAAGATAGGTGGGTATAAAGCCATCCACTGGAGTATGGTCAACCTACCAGGGGCTACAGCCTTAAAGAAAACAGATTGATCCTCCCCAGAAGCAATTAATTGTTCGTAACTCCCCATTTAAGAGTGGGGGTTCATGAGCCTTGTCTGGGGGATGCTTCTTCTTGCTATTGTGCAAACACCATTCTTGTCAACCCACTGCACATCTCCGGGTAACACTTCCTTCCCAGAACGAATGAACAAGCGGCCTCAAGACAATGCATGCCCAAGCAATCGCTGTCAGTGGCTGGAACTGAGAGGAATTAGCAGCTACTGTCGTTGGAGCTGTGGGTTCAGGTTTCCTCTTATCCTCTGTGAAGCTCCCAATAATGCAGCATGGCAGCCCCTTCATTGCATTAACCCATTACCAAGAAGGAAGACCTGCTGGTAGAGAGAGTTCCCAGCTAGAATGTGTAGTTTGTCCTGAAGGTGTAAGGAGTGAGGCTTTTGTGGGAAATGAACTCAGGAGCAGAAAGGCTGTCCATCTCTTTGAAAGAGGGAAAGGTGGTGGCCAGCTTGATGTTTGGTTTCAATGGCTTATTGGGTCCTGCTGACTTAGAGCAAGAGTTCTTAATGTTTATCAAGAGATCAATGACAGTTCTCAAGAGAAATGTGTATATGCACACAAGAGAATAAGGGGTTGTAGAATTAATGGCACAGAACTACAGTTTGCACTCTGGACCAAAACCACCTGAGCTCAAAGTTTAGCCAAGTGATGCTAGCCATGTGCTTTGAACACACTCATTAGCCTCCTACTGCAAGAAGACCCCTTATTTTCCTCCAGTAAGGGCAATAAGATCTTCCTAGGGTTGCTGTGAGATTAAAGATGAGATGCTGAAAACCTCTTAGAACATAAGAGGCCACTTGGCAGGTGACCTGTAATGTTCTCCACTGTGGGCCCTGATTACAGAAGGCCTCTGTGAGCATCTGAACTGAAGCTGAGGAATTTGCTAAGGATCATTGATCGCTGCCTTGGAAATGTACTTTGAGCATCATTAGCCTTTTGAAGTAGCAGATAAGCAGAATGTCATAGAATTCCAGCAGTCAGTTAAGAGGGCCCTGCTGAAAGAGGGTTTTAGGGTACTTTGCCCCTACCTTTCCATATCACAGTCGAGGACAAACTTCAGTGCCAACTCTACCATGTGGGAAGCTAAAGTTCAGCCTAACATTCCTATCTCTATGACACGTCTACCAGCTACTCAGTGAACCCTGGGTCATGGCATCCCAGCTCCCTTTTTTCTAGTTCATTATTGCTAAAGGTTGACATAGGTTGTTTCATCTACTGCTCTAGTGTTTGCTCTTGGGCCATTCTGCCAGACTCGGACAAGCAATCAGACAGCCTAATATCTTTCCTATCTACAAGTTCCACATCTCTGCATCTCTTGTCACTACAGGCATCTTGTGTATACATCGTCCTCCCCCTCCTCCTCTTCTCTTTCCTCTCCTTCCTTCCTCCTCGCCCTTCTGTGCTGAAACTCAGACCCAGAGCCTTGCACATCCCAGGGAGCTCTTGCCATTGGACTTACTCCCCAGCCCACATCTTCCCTTTCTCATATTCCACCACTCATCTTTGCTCTTGCCTAAACCTGAGAAAACCATTATTTTGTGTACATTCGACAATCTGAACCAAAAGTGTATTCTAAAACTGAGACTCCAAAAGCTTAGGAAGACGCTTCTAGATTCAGAGCCCAGAATATTATTAAAAGAAGAAATTTCAGTTTTCCTCTGTGACTTATTAGATTCAACGTTGTATAGAATCTTGAAATAATCTTTATTATAAATTTTATTTTATTTTTTGGTGTAGTGCTGAAAGTGAATAACATTTTAAAATAGCATTTGATACCATGCCAGACTCTTAAAGGACAATAGGTAAATTACTAGATGCTACAAAATACCCTAAAGTTATTTAAGAAATACATGTGCCTTCCTTCCCTACACTATCAGGGCCTAATCTCCAAGGTATAGGGCCTTAGGAGGTAACATGTCCTATCTATTTTATTTTCTTGTTCAAGCAAACTGTATCTTTCATCCAGCTGATTTCAAGAACCAAATTAAGTATTCATTCTTAGGGTCTGACTCCCACCCCTCACTACTGGTTTTGGATGTTTGAAGGTCTTGTTGACACTCACACCTCCTAGATATGAAGTGGCAGCCTGGAAGAGGTTCAGACAAGGAAGTGTTGTATGAACACACCTGCCTTACCCTGTTTTCAGGCCGTTGGAAAAGCTGGTTTCTATCTGTGAAGTACTCCCAGCCTGTAGCCTAACAGTTAGCATAGTTGCTCCCAGGCTGTTACAGGATTCCGGAATGTTCGTGTCTGGGATTCCAGAACTATGGTATATTGAAAGTGTGTTTCCTTTGTCCCTAAGAAAAGGGAGAGAAGGTATATAAAGCCCACCATCATGTGGAGGAGTGTGTCAGAATCAAGGCTATTGGTTAGACACCACACATCTCAACAACCTAGAATGTGAATGACCTAAAAGAATAAAGGTTTGTACACGTTAGGGGCTGCTGGATGCCTGACTGATTAATAAAATCATTATATTCTAAAGAATATGGCTGTGGGCACTATGAAGAAACGTGTCAAACACACCAGAGATAGTGATTCATCAAGAGATTGTGTGGCTGCTGCAGGGACGGCTCAGTGGGAAGATCACTTGCTTTCTCAGACACACAGCAGACACATATCCGCCAGGCGGACATGGAGACCTGCCTATCTTCCCAGCTCTGGGAGACTGACGGGGGATTTACAGACAAGCTGCTGAGTAGGTGGACTAGTCAGAGAGTTCGAAGTTCAAGTGAGAGACCCTGCCTCACTCTATAAGGTGGAGAGCAACCAAAGAAAACACCAGTGTTAGCTTGTGGCTTCTGCATGCCTGCAAACACACTCAACAGGGACACATATCACATGAGCATGTGCAAAATATTTTATTTTATTGTTTTTGATTTTTGGAGAGAGAGATGGTACGGCCTGTTAGAGCGTTAGGAACCTGAACTCCAGGCTTTACACCATAAGTCAGTACACCACCTTTTGGCATCTCCAGTGCCCCTGAGAGTAAAGTCAAGGTCACTATGTCACTGATGGCTCATTCATACTCACCCTCCACCCTCGACCAGCAAGGAAAAACGCAACACCCGGAGCTCTTCTCACTGCAGTTTATTCCAGGACTTTATTCACTTTCTCTCTCTTTCCCCCTCTCTCCTCTCTCGTCTCTCTCTCTGGACAAACCTCTCCCAGCCCTTAAGTAGGCACGGGCTGCCAACCCCGAACTGCCAGGTGGGCACTGCCCATAGGTTCACGCATATGCAGGCAGCTGATAATCATTGTGTGATCATAGCATAGGTCAGGCCTTAGCCATCTCAGGAGTTGATTATACATCTCCATCAGGTGTGACACCACGCAGCTCGCTACAGTTGTCCATTTTGGCTCGCTACAGTTGTCCATTTTGGCTCTGCTTGACTTTGAGTTAGATCTGTGGAAGGAATGTGGTCAGTCGCAGGACCTCCTAATCAGCAACATCTTTGTCTGGGACTCAGCCAGCTGGCCAGGTTCTCCAAAAACACCAGTTCAGGTCTGGGTCAAACTTGGTCATAACCAAGGCTACCCCTAATGCAACCCTGTGGGTCAAACTTGATCATAACCAAAGCTACCCCCAATACAACCCTTGTAGGTCAAACTTGGTCATAACCAAGGCCATCTCTAATGCAACCCAAGATATTTCTGTATCTGGTTCTATTGAAGTCAGGGTAGATGTTTAAGGCAAACGTTCATCTAGGGTCTCTCCAGAACAATAGCACCCATATTACCGGACACTGACATTAACGCAGATTTTCAGGTCCCAGCTCCTGCTTACTGAATCAAAGCCATGGCATGGGCCCAGACAACTATGTTGTAACATTCCCTCTGGGGGACTGTGACATTTACGAAAGTTTGGAAACCACAGTTTGGCTTGGCGCATCTCACTCTCTGGAGAGTGGGCATCGGCAGGTGTTCAGGCAGTAGTTTGCTGACCAGCATACCTTGCTTGGCACTGATCCAGCCTAGTAGCACTGATGCGCGAAGTTCTCATCATCAGATCACTCTCTTCAGAGCCTCTCAGAAGCCTTTTTCTTCCTGGTACTAAGGAAGGGCTAAGGCTCTTCAGGGAGAGATGACCTTTGAGGTCTATGCCTCTGAGACGTGAATGAGCATTTGGTCTGAGAAGATCCTATGTTGTTTGCATGCTAACCACCGCACACGAATTGAGCAGGAAGTGGCGCTGGTGCCTCACTTTGATTCTGAACACCTGGCCATGTACCTTAACAAAATAAACCTTACTCTACATTCCTAAAGGGCTGCTGCACAGAAAGCACTCAAGCACTGCAGGATCACTGGTGGCATAGATCAGCGAGGCAACATCACAGAGGGCCAAAGCATGCAATGCGTATCTGTGGCCCTGCCTCAGGCCTGGGCTGGCTACTGCCTGGTTCTAAGATTTTAGTACCTTCTTGACAAGGGTTTATTGGCCTCACCTGATGAGTAGAGGTTGGGCCGGTTCTGCAGAGCCTCTTTTGTTGTTGTTGTTTTTAATCTCTCTGTATTCTTTCTGATTAGTGATATCTTTGCAGTCTTAAAGCTTAAGGAACAGCACGGTCATGAGCATCTTCCACATGGAGAGAAGGAGGAAGGTAGACAAAGCTGTGAGGCAACAGCCACGTTGCTGCTTCCGGTGCCTTTCCAGGGTTGAGGAGGACAGGCTGTGCCTGTGAACCTGCTCTCTCTGAAGACAGCACACTGGGTTCGTCTTATGGTTCACATTTCAGACTTCAGGCCAGCTCTGCTTGTTTGTTTGCTTTGGAATATCCTGGATTATCCCGGCTTTCCTAGGAAGCTCATCTCCAAACCCAAACTTACTCTGGCCAGATCTTGAAGCCATAGCCTGAGTCAGTGCAAGTGACTACCCCCCCTCCCCCCATCCTGTCATCCTAAAATTAAGGTGCACTTTCTCTGCCTTATTATTCTAGTCTGGCCTCTTTCTGTTTCAGTCCCAAAGATGGGGGCAAAGAAAAAACTCACACGCAGAGCCCCTATTCATTGCCTACTCCTTCCCCCGAAGTCTGAGCTTTATAACAGTTTCACCCCACTCAATAGCACTTTCTGAGCCAATTGCTCTTTGTTTTTTTCCTCTTAAATCCATTGCCTAACAATCTCTTGTTTAACCTTTTGCCAAATTCTCCACTTCTGTCAGAGGTGACTAAAAGTGTTTGAGCAGGTAACTTCTACCTTTGCACCTCTATTGCAACAGGTCCAAAGGTTCCAGAAGAGCTGGCAGGACACTCTGAGGACAGGATCCAGTGACTTCAGATGTGCCTAGTCCCAGAGCGTGGAGAGTCAGAGGCTGCTGCATGTGGTGCTGAACCAGCAAGCCAGCTGCAAGAGGAGCCATTCCTCGACCCAGCAACTGTGACTGTTCTCACAAGGTGAGCTGCCTTCACAGGTCTAGGGGAGTAGGGGCTGTGGGGGGCAGTGGGATGCGTATTCATCCTCAACCTGCTTCAAGTTCTTTCGAAACACGAGTGGTAATCTCAGTCGACTTGTGTGGGAGGCAAAGAAAGAAATCAATTGGGAAGGGAAACATTTGAGCCACTTGAGGAGAGGGGGGGGGATTGGAAGAGAATATTGTCACTTTTTAAAAGGCATAAAACTTTGGAAAGTTAAAGACTGAATCAGGATGTAGGTTTCCTTCACGTGCCATTCAGAAATTCTTAGTTAAAGGTGCCTCTTAACTGCTGGCAATTGAGACTCCTATTGGAAGGGAGGGAGTAGCAGGGATGCTGTTAGGGGCTGGCAAGCATCCTACGGATATGATATGTGTTGGCTCAGGGGGCATCTACTGCTAGGGCAGCAACACTAACCTCATATTTTCGACACATCTCTGAGGTGTTGGATCCTGTGGCTTGGCTTTAGATAAGACATGGTGGTCAGTCAGTCCATGGTCTGCTCCAGTCATCCAAGACAGAAGTCTTGGGTGATGTCAGAATTCTCCCATTAAAGTCTTTGGATTACAATCTTGCTGAACTTGACATTCAGTTCTAGAGGAGACCAGTAGCCACAATATTAGTTGGTTTCCTCTGACCCGCAACAGCTAAGAAGGGCCTTAGAGAGATGGGGGGGGGGGGGGCTTGGCATCCACTCTGCCATCTAATGGTCTCCTCTGAAGAAAATTGTTTCCGGGGAAGCTCTGAAACTAAACAAAAGCCAGAGGCACCTCCTTCTATCCTTCCAAAGAGGACAGACCTGCTGTTCTCTGAGATATGGCTCCATTTTCCTGGCCTCCCCTGCAGGAGTGGGTGCTCTCTGCAGAGAGAAGGAATCCCTTAAGGTAGCTGGTGCTCTCAGGAAGAGCCAGGCTCATCTTGAACTTCCTGCTGATCCTTTTTGGAGGGATCTAGGCTAGGAAAGTGCTGTGTAATTCTGCCTGTCTGTAGTGTTGCTGCTGGGTGGGGGTGGGGGGGCAGAACCTGTCATTCTAGAACGGGATCTCCTCGTACCCCTGGGAGACCAGACAAAGCCTTAAAGGGTGAGCAAATAAGCCAATCGCGAACCCGGGGTAATGCTGAGGTGTGAGAGGGGTCACAGAACACAATTTTACATTAAACTTGGCTGACTGGAAGGCCGATCTGGTGTGTCAGAGGAAAAAGAGCCACGTCAATTTAATGGCTCGCTGCCCCAGTGGTTCCTGGCTTATTTTGTTTCTTCTGTTGTCTCTGTGAGGACCGCCGGTGTTCCTGAGTCGGCAGCTCTGGGGAAGGGGAGAGGGGCTACGTGAAGACAGTTGTGTTGAGACTGACCCAAGGGCGGAGGTCCCTCTATCTGGACTTTCCTGTCCTGCAAACGCAGCGGGGAACAACGTCACCTCCGTCTCTCTGGCAGTGAATCCAGGGGCACCTCAACTCGGTTTCATTTGGATTTTCGTCTTAGGAGAGCTAGTGGGACCAGCGGGAGCAGGTGGACTGTGTGGATGCAAGGTGGCTTTTGTTTCAGCCCTAAGGGGCTGGGGCTGAAGGCTTTAAAAAAACGAGCCGGGGTAGCTTTGGCTGCCTGGCTCCCTCCTCCTGGTCAGAAGCGCTTCCACTTTCAGTTGTGAAAGAGGAAAAAAAAAAACAAAAAACCAGGAAGTGAAGTCCCCAGCACCAGTATGTCAGAAAGCCCGGCTATGGCCTGGTTGGGACAGCTGAGGGCAGGGCAGAAGGGGGGACACTAGCCAGTCTGCCTGCCTGCCTGTCTGCCTGCTTGCCTGCCTGCATGGACGCTCTGAAGCCACCCTGTCCCTGGAAAAGCCCGGGCTGAGGAAGGAAGCATAGGGGCTCTCCTGCCAGCCAGAAGCCGGATCCAGGAAGCCCCGCTCAGAAGCTCCCAGGCATTCGGCCCCTCACAGGGTAAGGGATCTGGAGCCGGGTGTGCTCCAAGGGCGGGCTCCGGGGCGTGTGGCAGAGGCATCCCGGTCCCCCTCCTCCCTGCCCAGCTTCAGGAAGCTGCTTGCAATTCACGGGCTCGCTGCGCCCCACGTGTGCGCCATGCTCTTTCTGCCCCGGGGGTGGGGGTGGGGGCTTCCAGGGCTACCTGAGCTCCGTGCACCGGGAGGTGAGGGAAAGGAGGAAGGGACAATGGGAGGGGATTTTCTCCGTCTCTTTTCCGAGGTGGATTACGGCGACCGTTTATTTTTTTCTTTTTCCGGGCCTGTGCACGTGGCATGGCTCCCTGTGGTGGGCTGGGGGTTTAACCTTGATTTTCACTGGACTTTAACCCCCTCTGAGGGTAGGAACTGAGGAATGAAAGTGAGGAGATGCAGAAACTGAATGGCTCCCGAATAAAGTCAGGTCTCTTTCCAGGGCTATAAGCACGGGCTAGATCTAAGATGCTCTTGAGGGGCTTTGAGGGAGTGAGCATGGACCAGGGGCTCCATGGCTGGGTTTTGATACCCCATGTGATATAACAGCCCCCGCTGCCCCCCTTTGACAGTCCAGTCTGAATGGCAGGATTGAATACAAGATACTCTTGAAGGGCTTTGAGGGAGTGAGCATGGAGAAGGGGCTCCATGGCTGGGTTTTGATACCCCATGTGGTATAACACACTTCCCCCTACCCCCCTTTGACAGTCTAGTCTGAATGGCAGGACTGAATCTAAAGTTTGTACTTCAAGTGGATGGGTGCCCTGTAAGAGGCAGGGTCTCAATTAAATAAAGCGCTGGTCAGGTTGGGAAACTGGAGACGGAAGTCGTGGACTCTGAGCCTGCCCTCTATGTCCACGGAGCAGCTGTCTCGGGGAACTTCCGAATTCCCCTTGGAAGAAGCACAGTATAAAAGTGTGCGGGCATCGCTCGTGTGCCTGTCTCAGCTGGTGAAAGGCACAAAAGCCCGAATAAAGCAACAGCTGGAAATGCAGGCAGGCAGGCAGGCAGGCAGGCAGGCAGGCAGGAGGAGGGCAGGTAACACAGGCAGGTGAAGTCGCTGTGTCTAATGGGATCTTGGTGATGGGAACACTAGAAAAATTTGCTGCACATATAACCCAGAAAAGCACAATAAATTTAATTTTTGTAAAAATACTGTCCAGACCAAACCAAATTTCAGCCAGGCATCTGGCTTAAGGTGATGTTGTCGTTTTGTTTTTCTGAAACCGACTTTCCCTGCAGTCTAGGCTGAGCTGGGAACTCCTTAGAGAAGGCTGGTGATCCCCCTGCCTCAAGTGTCTTAAGTGCTGGGGTCATAGGTGTGTTATATGACACTTCCTTAGGGCACAAACACATTCCACAAGGTCAGTGTGCCTCTTTGCACCCCAGGGCTCCAGAGGGGGGGACACTACGAAAGAACAGAGAACTCAGTTGTGTGCCAACACACATAGCAGATATTATATTTGGTCAAGGCAATCTTTTGAGGTGGATGACTTTACTCTTTGCTGGTTAAGAGAATAGCATCAGAGAAGTGCAGCTGCTTCCCCAAGGCCACAGAGCAAGCAGATTGTCAATTGTATTGGAATTTTAGTCAGTCTGATGCTTTCAAAAGTAAAATATTTACAGTTCTATTTTGAAAACTTGCTCTTTGTTCACTTGTAGGGTTAACCTTCCTTTGGATAGCCTAAAAGTTTAGCCTGTAAAAAGATTTTCATGTGTGACACTCTTGATACCAAGTATTGAGTTTACATGGTCAGCCCCTATTTGAGATTTTTCTGGAACCATGAATATTACTGCTGCCGTCATCAGGGAAGCACTTAGACCCCAATGGATCCGTTTCTTTTGATTCTAAACAGAAACCCATGGAATAGGGTTAGAAGTGAGACTTAGAAAAACACTCAGATGGCGATGCTTGGGCCTGGAATCTGAACCTGGGCTCATTTGATTCCCAGGGTAATATGTACTTTAACACTGATGAGTCGTGCTTAACGCATAGGCCAAAGAATAAGAGACTGGACGATAGTTAATCTTTAGCAAACCTTCCCATCTCAAATCCATATAGACAGGATGTAGACAGACTAGTCGGGGCTGGGGGAAGGAGTGAGGGGTGAGTGGTTCACAAGTATGGGGTTCCCTTTTGGGATGATGGAAAATGGTTTGGAATTAAATAGAAGTATTGATGGCATAGCATTGTGGATATGCTAGAGGGTCCATTTAAGAAAGTTTAAGTTTTAAAAAGTGAATTCACCTTAAAAAAAAAAAAAGAAAGAAAGAAAAAGAAGAGGAAGAAGCGTCTTCTGTCTTGCAGGCAGATGAGCTCAGCCCCAGATTTGGCACCATTTTTATAAAGCAGGAGTATACTGCCTGCCTGCTATGTCTCATACTCGTGCCTAGCAGATGCAGTGACTCTTGGCTGGGTGCAGCCAGAGGTGACTTTTGAGTTTGGCAGCGCTCTGCAAGTGTGGTATGGTCCCAGCAGTGACCTCAGCCTTCACAGCTCACACAGCAATTCTGTGGTCGGTACTTCTGGGTCTGTCAGGATGAGACACAGTCTCTCTGCAGCCCTGCCCACAGGCACAGGGCAGGATTCCTTCTCGCTTCCCCATTCTTGGGATGTGCATAAATAAATGACTTCATAGGGTTTGGAAGGTCAGCCAGTCCATGAACTGCTACTACAGATCTCTCGGTCTTCCTGGGTCCTTCTACTCTCAGCCGGGGGTTTGTGAGTGGCTTGTGGGAGGACTTGAGGAAGGGGGTGGGGCTGGGTCAGAGATAGTCCTGTCTCCTCCAATTAGAAGAGCTGCCTTTAAATAGGAACAAGGACTTGTTAAGACATTCATCTGCAGGAGGAACCAAGATGACGATTATATCTTTTGGGACAGTTCATAACAGATGATGTGACCGGAGAAAGGCTGTGAAAATGGAGGCAAGAAAAGAGAAACTCATTCTGCTTGTATGCGTACAGGCACACTACACATGTGTGCAGGGGCGTGTAGACGTGTAAGTGCACCTGGTGCCAGAGGCCAACCTTTGGAATTCTTCCTCAGCTTCTTGCCGTATTTGTTGTGAGACAGGGGTTCTCATTGGTCTGGAACTCAACAAGTAGACTAAGTTAGTACCAGAACTCTACTGTCTCCACCTTTCCGGAACTGGGACGATAAACACATGCCACCACACCGGACCTCGTCTGAGAACCTAACTTAGGTCCTCAGGCTTACGCAAGCAAGAACTGTGCTGACTGAACCATATCCCAGCCCCGACAAGAGCTTTTTTCCCTCAGGACTTGCCATGTGCCCAATAGTACACCAGGTACCACAGCACTTTGCTGCGTGCTCTTGAAAGCATGGGTTTGCAGGGATGTTGAGTAACTGTTCCCGGGTCTGCCCATCTCAGAAATGAGAGATCTGCTGTTCCAGAGTCAGAAAAGCAATGACCTTGGAGGTTTGCCTCTGGACAGGCTAGTCCTGGCATCAGGCTTACTGCCTCCACTTCAGATCTGGTGA